ACGGAACTTGACTGGAATAAAAAGGATTACTCGTCGTAAATCCCATCCCATTCCCCTTCTTTATTCGTTGCTTGCCTTAGATGTTTATCTATGTGATGACGGTGCAATAAGTGGTTCCTTGTCCTATCCTGCCTAACACCTGAGAAGACAGACAGCACAGCTTACCGACCCTCTACTCTGCTACTACCTCGTACTCGTACATCGTTGTGCCTTAGCGAAGAATCTTATCTGGAGGTGTAGAAGATAGATGGGTAGTTTGCGAGTGGTGTGAGATGCGAATAATACTCTCAAGATGACGATGCATTTGGATTTAACGTATACCTGGGGTGAACACAGAAAAGCAGTAGGATGAGTTATTGATAGAATGAATTCAGGGGTTGTAGACATATGTCTGCAAGTATGTTCGCCAAGAAATTTCGCGACTTTATGGTATCATCTGCTGTCATGTTATCTCATCTAGAAATAGACTATATTTATACAATGAAACTCATTACTCGACATCGTCCAAGGGTCTGGCAGACATTATAACCCCGAAAGCACGCTCTGAACACCCACGCTCCTGGCGTCGTCTCTGCTCTGTATAAAGCCCTTGAAGTCGGCCTTGCCTAGCTTCTTGGTAGATGCGGCGGCACCCGTAGCCAGGTTCCTGCTTCTCTCGCGCAGGGCCTCGGGGCCGATGATGAAGAGGTAGCCGATCTCGGTAAGCAGCTCGACGGCGGCCCCGACGTCCTTGGACAGCGGCCATTCCTTGAGCGTAGCCACGTACTTGGCAATGTCCTTGGTGACCATGAGACCGCCGGTGGCGTTGACCTTGAACTTCTTGAAGTGCTCGAACAGCAGCCGCTGGATGGACAGCGCGAGCTCGCTGCTGAACACCTCCAGATTCTGCCCGTCGATGGACTGGTTGAGCAGGTTGGTGCATCGTGACAGGAAGAGGCAGATCGATGTGCACGTGGTCGTTTGCAGTGACTCGACAAGATCAAGCTCATCTCTGGGTAGGAAGTCGAGCTTCTTTTGTTGGCCTAGGGACTTTGTGACCCAGTTGATAATAACGTCCATCGTGCTCTTCATGACACTATTTGTTTTCTTTTCGATGGCTTCGATGCCCAGTTTGGACTGTGCCTCCATACTTCGTCGTACGGTCGTATTAGATTCCGCTAAGCGGATCAGGACAGTATTTATAAAGCGAGACATGATGCTTGTGATGGTCACCGCCGGCCGAATTGTTGGTAGATAAGATAGATCCGGCTCAATCTTTACATTTTCCTGAGTTGTGGCCCGCTCATGTGCCGCCTCTAAGGCAGTCTCAACGTATGCTTGGCCCATATGCGTCATTAGGAGATTTAGAAGGATCGCAACATCCTTAGGCGTATCACTTGGACTACCCAGCTCGACTAGAACACTCGAAGTTAGTTATTACTATTTGAAATGTGTTTTGTGCCGGATTCAGGGGCTTCGAGATACAATCTTGGTTCAAAAAGGAAATCTCGTGCTCTGGAAGTTGCCAAAACAAGAAAATAGTTCCGAAAAGTACTCACGCGTCCGCCGCACACTTTCCGCAAGCCAGGTCATCATCCTCTTAGCATTTGCGGTTGAAAGGTATCCCTCTTCTTCGGATACCTCGATTTCGTTATTGTTGTCGGTCTCTTGCACTCGAGCAACTCTCAGCATCATAGCTTTTTGAGTCGGTGTTAGATCAGACGACTCGAGTCTTTCCAGATATGCGTCCTTAGCAGATTCCATAAGCTGGTTAGTCCGTTGTGCTAATGAAGCCATAAAGCCAGTCGGAGCTTTCTTTCTTCTGGAATGGTAAATGTTAAAGCGGAATTGTAGAGAATTAAAAAGCTCCTCCAAGCTCCTTTTCTCTCGATCGATGTACGAATTCCCCATGATATACGGAACGAATAGCTCTTCCATCTGCTGATCTAAGGTTTGAGCAATCTGCGCTGAGCAAGGCTCAGGATGTTCTGTCAAACCATGCGATTTTAAGTCTTCGATTAGAGCACTGATGTATGTTCGTGAGGAGTGAAGCGATCGCAGGAAAGCAAGAGACGAAACGGTACTAGCTTTCTCCAGGACCATTTCTAGCCTCTGTTGGACCGACTGTTGGAATATTCGTTGGATAAACTTGATTAAGACCGTCTCGTAATAGGGGAAGGCCCTCTTGATTATGAACGATTCCTCTTGCATGATTATCCGGACTTCATCAATGAGCGACTGTAGACTGGGTTCGACACCTGGTGGTTCGGCATCGGGGTCTGCGAGCTGATCCCAGGTCTCCCCATCCATCGTAACCTCATCAGTGATGAGCTGGTCCCTATCAATGAAAAACTGGTGCTGGTTGACGAAGACAGCTATAACACTGGCGCCGCCGTTGAAATCGTGCAGTACCTTGGCGCACTCCATCATATCGTCGAAGTTTTGTTTCCGGTAGCTGTTGTTGAACTGTTTCAGCAAGTCCTGCTCCAGAGTTTCACAGAATTTTTCCAATATCTCTCGCGTATTGTGTGACCGCTCAGTGCCATTGACGCCATTTGTGGTGCCGTTCCGCTGATTCCCGTTGGTCTGATTCCACGATGCTGGGTCTAGTCTCTGACTGATGCGCATCAACTGGTGTGCAATGACAGCGCAGCGCACCTTGTTCTCCGAGCCGCCCTGACGCTGGATGTCCTGCAGGGATGTCAATTCACCAGTTTCACTGACTTGAAGCCAGCAGTGTATTAGGAAGTTGGCGTCTATAGCCCGTCTCCGCTTTCGGTCGAGTTCCTCGAGCTTCTCGCCAATTTGCACAGCGATATTGCCGCCTGCCTCTCCGCGACTGCCTCTATCAGTACCGTTCGGGTTGTTCAGTGTGATATCGAGCGCTTCAAATTGGTTTATGGATTGGTCTAGCTTGCGACCAAGGGTATCAAGGGTCTGGTCGTGCTGTATCTCGGCACGTCTGACTTGAGTCAGAAGCTCCGATTCCTTCTCCTGCAATTCTTCGGAGAGGCTGCCGAGGCCCTCTAGCGCATCTGAGAGAGGGAAGACGGTGTCAGCAGGCAACTTGAAAACATAGAGAGCCCATGGGGGTTCATACTCTCGAAGGCTCTGATGAGAGGCTTGGGGTCGAAAGCCTGCTGAGCAGCTCCTGAGCGTCGGTTCTGGGAGACGGCATTCTCAGCGAGACTGTCGACGAAGTCGCGTACGATAAAGTCTTTGTTTGAGAAATCTTCGAGGCTGAAGCTAGGACCCTTGGGAAATAGGGCTTGCGATCTGGACGTAGCCCTCTCCATCAGATTGGTCACGGCGGCGTGGTCGTGGTCGATGCTGGCGACGACACCATGGAGGGGGGGAAGGGTGGTTGGTTGCTACGAATCGCTTCGTCTTGGCGCAAGCCGGGTCGTGTCGTATACTTCAACAAACAAGAGGATTTGATCGTTATCGACAGTCTGGGTGAGCTCCGTCGATATCCATCAGTAAGTTTAGTATTCACGTAGCCAGAGATGTTAGGTCGTCGGGGGTTTGCTGTAGACTGTACTTAGAATTGAAACTACGGCTGTCGCATAGCTACTACCTAAGTAGGTACTTAGAGGTAGTGACAGGGCCCCACAGGTAGATGCCAAGCCTGAGGCGAGCCCAAGCTGCTCCCCATAAAACCAACCAACTTCCTACCAGATAGGTTTACCATCCCGAATCGGAATGGGAATCTAACCTGAGCCACGCCGCTTTTAGCCTGAGCGTAGCCTGAGCCAGAACTAAGCGAAGCTGAGCATAAATAAAAACGGTTCAAGTCACAGTTTAAGTTTATCGTAAAACGGATTTCTAGTAGGGTAAGTCCAAAGTGAATAGATACATGGAAGCCGGAGAAGATCTGGCGGGAAATCGGAACCGGCCTCTGTCCCCATGCCCTTCTGCTTATAGCCTTGGTTTTGTGCTGCAACTCTGCAATGGACTGACTGCAGCGGAGATATTGGGCCTTTGATACGATCCCACAGGGGTGTATCGATCGTTGCCCGGCAGGGACTATCAGCCTTGCTTGGCGGAGAGATAGCTAAGGGACTCAACAAGACCCTGGTGTCTCTGTCGAGCAACACCCTTATTTTTGTACATTCGATGAAACCGCAACGGCTTGCGGTATGACTGACGGGAGGCCCATCGACAGCCAGTCTCAGAGCTCGTCGAAGATCCGCGTAGTGATAAGAAGATGATGCGCGATGAGTAGGTAGGAATAGACAGAGGGAGAGGGATATCGGATTTCTTCTTCACATCATTGGGCCAGCCAACGAGTGCAATGAAAAAATGAATGTTTGCCCGTGAGCCTGCTAGAAGCATGTATTGGTACTATGACGCTTCTGTCAAGACTCGAGGCATAGAACCTTGATCAGGAATTTCCCGCCGCAGTATTCCGTCGTCTCAAGGTCTAGTAAATTACTCTCCAGGGCCTCTTAACTTAACAGTTGCATCCCTCACCTGTTAAGCACGTGGCACCCCAGTGGCCTGAGCAGATTGCCTTGAGACCTTTCGATCCGGCCGTGAAAAGAAGAAAACAGGAAGACAGGAAGAACAGAAGGAAATGAGACCTTTATCGTGCGGGTGTGCAAAGCCCCACGCAGCAGACTTGTTCCTACCTTTTCAGAATGCACATCAGGTCATGGCAGTTGCGAAGGCAGCAGTTGCGAAGGCTCTAGCAATTGCAGAGGCCATGGCAGTCACAGAGGAGGCCATGGCAGTTGCGAAGGCCTTATGGGAGTAGGAGGTTCTTTTAACAGTACCTAGGTAGTAAGTCTATGCGACAGGGAGGGCTTGGAGACCCCCTATAGAAAAAGTATGTCTATCTTAAAGGCTAGATAGCCCTGTTAAAACTTTCCATTATTAATTCACGTTCTGTTGTAATTGTATGTGATTAATGATAATAGAATCTGATACCGAAGAAATGGGCTTGGGTGGTGCTCTGCTTAAAATTGATCTAGTAGTAGGATCATGAAGAATTGACCTAAAAAGGAAATCTGGAAAAAATCTGGACACGGCCGGATTCGAACCGGCATCCCGGTTGCCACGTAATAAGATCCCGGTTTGCTACCATTACACCACATGCCCATTAAGTTTAGCGCTGTTACCTCAAAATAGATATATAACTAACACACAGTGTTCTCTTTACACAATAGAGATTATAAATCAATCAATCAGCCTACCAGAATAACAAAGCTATTCTATCCGTCGAGTCCCTTAGGTTGGGTAAGTAAGTAAGTACTTTCGGAAACAAAACCCCCAATCCAGCCACAATGCTCTCGTCTTAACAGCATAATGACAGATAGGTCTCCCAGCACAGTTCATTGACCATATTCAACTCTAAATCTTTTGTTGGGGATCTGTGGCCTTTTAAATTGCATGAACTAGGACTTTATTAACTTGATCTCTAAAGTACCTAGACTTATACCAATCTCGGTTTTAGTCAATTATCATATCTTTAGAATTATCCTGCTATATTGTTTACTCAGATTGAGCAGTCTGAGCTTCACATTGTTCCCAGCACTTCGAGTTTTACATGAAACAAAAAGTTCTCCTCACTCTAGATGAGTACAATATCCTGTTCCTCGAGGCCTAGTGACTCTATTTGACCATTCATCATGCCGTGAAGATAAGTGTCTCCGACTATCCTAAACGTCTTCCTCCTCTTGGTCTTAGTCAACCGCCGCAGCATATGAGTCGTGTTCGCGTTGTTCAGCACGCACACTTGGTCGTTGACTTGAATCCCTTTCGGACCAAAGCCGAGCCTACCTTTGACTGTGCAGAACAGCCGCCTACCACGGAGAGTGGACAGAATAGTCTTGAGTAATTCGTTGCTAGCCGTGCCTATCTTTAGGCCTGCCAATGGACCAATTTCGAGTTTCTCCAGCTCTGTTGCACTTTCTCCTCCAGGTTCTTGTAAGAAGCTATGTATAAGTCAGCAACATAATCTGCAGCAAATGTACATATTTACGCGATCATAGCCGGTTGTGGCAACATATGTCAAGATATCTGTATTGATACTCACCATTGATCTAGGGTCGATCGAAATGAGCGAAACGTCTTGTAAGTAAACGTGTAGTCTCCGCTTTTGGTAATATTACCAACCAGCGTACGCCAGTAATCATCGATTGTCACGGGTAAGCGGCCTTGTTCGTGAAATCCGAGTGTGGAAGTCGGATCATCCGGGAGATTGGAGGAAGCTGAGCCTAGAATATCAGTTGCTATAGTCCGCTCCCAATCGCGAAATACGAGATAGAGGTTTCGGAGCTCCTCAGCCGAACCTATCTCCTTTATTGATACCGCGATATCTGGAATAACAGGATACGTTCGTTTAACCACGTCGAAAATCTTGCCTCGCACCTTCAGCTCACGGAAATTGTTGCTCTGTTGAGGGGAGGACGTTGCTTTACTGGCATGGTAATGCTTTACCCAGCCGCTCAGGTACACCGGCTCTTCGCTGTTCCTGATATCAGGCGATCGCTGGCTCCAGCTGTGGTAGTCCGGACACCAACTTGGCAACCCCGGCATTTTATCTGTAGCAGTGGCAAACTGTAGTATATCCCACCAGTTCTGGTAAGTTTGTGATCCGTTGCTCAGGAGGAAATGTGTCAATCTTATGTAAAGTTCGTCTATAGGCATGTCACCATCAAGTCCTAGTTGTTGAAGTTGATCCTCAGTGATAAAACCAAGATGGCCAAAAACCCGGTCCCGAGGGTCAGCGCACTGACTCATATCCGTCGTCAACCTAATGATATTGAGAAGATGATTCGACCATGGAGTTTTATCGCTGCGGCTTTGCACCTCCTCGCGGACACGAAAGACCGTGTCGTTATTGAGAGGAGCAAAGTTCTCCAAAATCGGTAGTTCGTTTACGTCTTCGCGTATATTCCACCCATGATCGACTGCTTTCTTGAGGACGTCCCATTCGATTTCCTCATTCTCGTATAAGACTCGGATGCGCTTAGCTAGCGCGGCCTCCTGGATTATCCATAACCGGTCGAACCATTCATTCTGGGTAAGTACCCTTATAGCTTTCCAAATAGGCGAGGACGCGTGCGGTAGAAGCGTAGAATTGTGGGTGAATATATTGTCTGATTTTCTCCTGTGCATTTCTAACTCCTTTCCGACTCTTCCTACCTCGGGTAAGAGTCTGATTGCTTCTCTACTATACTCGATACCGCATCCAAGCCAAACCCATATCTGTGCCGCTCGGCGATAGATGCTATGCATCATACGGATCTGATCGAACTTCTCGACATTGTTTGACTGGTTGATACAGACCGCATCAATCCATATAGGCAAGGAGGATTGCCGCTTTGCGAGGTAGGGTAGGGCATCCCTTAGGTGCCGATGGATGCGGAGCTCTTGGTCGTTGCAGACGAAAGGAAAGGTGTGATTCTGGTCTCCCCATGTGTAGGATAATGCATCGAACGCTACGGGCGCTTGTGACTCCTCGGTATGTAGCTGTACTGCTTTCAGCGTCCACACTAGCCTGTCCTCGTGGATAGCTGAATAGAGTAATCGGATCTGGCCGGGACTGAGAGCCTCATACGTGAAACGAGAAGACGATTCCGGCATAACGAAGTATCCTCGTCTGAGTACAAGAAGACTGAGCTACGAAGAGGAAGTGAAACCATTCGTAACATTATCGCGAAACCAATGCTGTCCTTCCCTGCCTTAAAATATCGTATCTGACCAGTAATAATGAGAGAAAGTATCAGGGAGTAAAGGGATTCGAGCCCCAGGCTGTCGACTCATCGTGGCGGTGCTGCTTCCTTCCCAGATTTACCCAATCTCGGGTCGGCGCGTAAGCTTCACTCACATATACAGTAAATCAGAGCACTCTGGCTATTTGTGTCTAATCAATTCCATTGTTAGATGTAGGTAGCTTTCGTTTTTTCTCGTACTTTTCAAAAATCTGAGGCCATACCAGCTCGCAATCTTGTATTGTAGCTCAATTTGCCAAACTAAGGGACCTAAAAACGCAATCATCTTCATCAAATAGATTAACTATATTCGTAGGTTAATATTAGGATCGCTCCGAGTTGGGTTTATTTTGCTTTAAACCCGCAGAAATGTAACTCATCTTGGTTGCCTTTTACGGCTTCTAATGAAGTGACTCTCGGGTAGACTTATCTATCCCTGAGCCCCTGACCAAGGACTATTACGCATCCAAGATTAGTAAATGTCAGTATGTCCAACGAGGGAACAATTTATCGAACAAAGCGCAACTTAGCCGAACAGAGAATACAGAAAAATCAACGAAAACTAAGGCGTAGCGACATGTAGGCGACTAAGTTGCCAGAATTCTTGTTGTCTCGTTTAGGTAGAATGAGTACACGAAAATAAACCCTCTTCCTTGTTAGCTAAGAATACAGTTGGCTATCTGCCCTACTTCAATAGCTATTGCATCTTTACAACTGCGTTTTGTTGTAAGATATCTGTCGAGTGCCTGAGAATACCTACCTTAGTCTCATAAGAAGTTTACATAAGAGCGGCCAATTTCTGTAGAACCTGGCTCGCCTGGAAGGGGGTACAACCTAACTAGACTAGAACCCGTCTAGCGGCGGGAGAGCCCCTCTTCTTCATTGCCCATTCCCGGCCACGCAATCTGTGGCTGAGGTCACATTCCGGCAGCTGGCTTCTATTTTGAAACTGGGCCTGCATCATCTTTTTGTCACTCCACCAAGCGTCGTTCATTAGACTGCTCCCCACGATAAATCGTCATACTCCGCCCACCGTGATTGGCGTCCATTCGTTATAACCACACCGTGTTTCGGTTTGAATTATCTCGTGGCTTACGCAATTACACCCATACAGCTAGACGGACGAACGAACCAGACAAGGCGATGCGAGTGGCCAAGTAATACGACTGATTAATGCTTCTTTTTTTTTCTCTTCACTCTCCTTTCCCTCTAGAACGCTGTAGACTACCGCACTATCCGCCTTTTATACCCAATCCATCAAAATACAGTGTGAACATCCCATTAGATGGCAACAATGTCATTTATATCAAAAGATACCCAAATATATCGGGAGGATGAGAAGTCTGGACATAAGAAGCTCAGGCCTGAACAGCGCGAGGAGTTGCTTAAGGTTGGTCTCCAACCCCTCTACATATATCCCGTCTCGAGTTCCATCCCGCCTCATCACTAGAGTTGAGATCTTGGTTAACCTAGTCTGCCAGAATTATCTCCCCGCACCGCCATCCCGCCAACGAAGCAGCAGCCGCGTCAGGAAACAGGGCTCGTCGCGCCTCGGGGTCAGGAGATTCCTCAAAGCCCAGCTCTACGCCCTCCTCTATCTCTTCATCCACGCCATCTTCTCTCTCTATATCCGCACGCGTGGCGCCTACCGCGCCGTCTCCAGCCGCCTGATCTCCATCCTCAAGCACCACTATAATTCGCCCGAGTACATAGCTCGGGATGTGGCTACGCTGAGCAGACTACCAAACCACCTAAGCATAATACTGACTCTCGAGAATGGCGGAAGGGGTGATGCCTTGGAGAAGTTGGTAAATGAAGTTTCCGAGGTAGCGGCGTGGTGTGCCGCTGCCGGCATCCCCACATTGTCAGTGTATGAGAAGACAGGTACCAGATTTCTCCTAACCTAGCTCTATCTGCTATCACTAACATATAGTGCAGGTGTCCTGAAGAGATACATGACGCAAACGCACCGTAGCGTGTGCCATCGACTGAAGATTTGGTTCGGCAAGCACCAGGTGCCAGCTCTTGCACTTTTCGCCCGAGGCGCCCCTACGATTCGGTCTCATAGCCGCCAGGGCTTAGATCTCATCCTCGTCTCCGAAGACGATGGTCGGGAAGCCATGGTTGACCTCACAAGGGTTCTGACCGAGATGGTACAGAAGGAGAAGATTGCCGCTGAAGACATTACTATGGACGTGATTGACAACGAATTGTCCGAGGCCGTGATGAGCGAGCCAGATTTACTTATATCATTTGAACCCTACGTCGATTTACAAGGTTATCCGCCGTGGGCCATTCGCTTAACCGAAATCCACTGCGCTCCTGATAATCAAGGAGTAGGGTATCAGCTATTCTTGCAGGCTCTTCGGAAGTACGCACAGG